CAGTGGTGGGCTCAGCGCTGCCGCCTGTCTTTCAGGAGGGTCGAGGCCTGGGGGACCTGTTACTCACCCAAGCGGATGCATGGCGACTGTGGATGACCTCAAATTTCAAGGTAAACGTGAGGTTTGGGGCCCAGCTGATGGGGTGGTCAAACTGTTGGAGGCTTGGAAGCATTTCTGAGCTTTGCTTTGGGTTCCTCTGAATGAAAGCTTCCTTGGAGTTTTGCCAGTGGTGTCAGGAATATCTCTGGTTTTCTGAGATAAGGTCGTGCTGTTGATGAGCTAAAAAGCATCACCTGTGTTCACTGAAATCCTTTGTGATGGGAAGTTAACGTTGAAAACGGGCAGAGCATTCTGTAATATGCAATGGACGGTAGTTTCAGATCTCTTTAATTTTTGATAAATAAATTCAGGTCTGAAAAAGGTAACTTTTGGAGAAGTTACCGTCAGGGAGGCAGCTTCCCCCTGCCCTTGCAGAGACCTGGTGGTCCTTGAATTGGGGCTGATTGCAGGAAGGAAAGGCAGGCTTCAGTGGTGCTAGTTTATCATAATGCAGCCAATTAGCAGGAAAGACAGCCTCACGCTTTATTAACTAAGTAAATATTCAGCTTGATCCCTGTCAGTTTGGGCTTTAAGAAATGTAGATGACGTTTGACATGCCTAAGCTAGTGGTATATCCTTTCTTGGGCTGTGTAGGAGTCTTAACATAGTTTTTTGAGCCGTGAGAACAAAAATGTTGGTAGCTTGATCATCACCTGCCTTGTAATGTACTTATTTGCAGAATTTGACGATGCAGCTAATTTGCTTGCAGCAAATCCTGACGCTACCACAATAAGCATCGACGAGCCAGCTGAAATCCCCAAGAATCAGCACGGCCGTCTGCAAGAGCCAGGGAGAGAAGAGGATGATGAATTACTGGGGACTGATGACTCCGATAAAACAGAGGTAATGCTCTTACACCTACAGTGCCTCCATCGGCACGTATACAAATGGTGCTGACAACACAGATATTTCTGCAGGACGCCAGGGATTCATGCTGGGTGACTTAAAACTCTGCTTCTTCTCTGTCGCAGGTTACTTTCTTGATAGCAGAGTTGGCAGAAGTAAACGTGCGTTGGCTCTTCAGCTGTTGTGGTTTGCAGCCTAGGAAATTGTACTGAAATGGTGGTGATTTAAACTAAGCAAATATGCCAGGAGATAAGCGCAGCAGCAGCTGAAAACCCAGCATGGTGTTTGTTTCTGTTGGTTCTGCTGTGGGGTTGATGACTCTGGCTGGAGAGCAGGAAACTCTGAAGTGGCCAGGGCTTGTCTGAAGGCTCAACTAATGCAGCCATAGGCAACGGTGAGGGAGCTTGTGATGCTGATAAAGGTGTGTGTTATAAATGATGTGGAGGAAGGTGGTGTGTGGCTGCTCTTTAGAACCCTAGGCCACTGTTCTGCTTGCAGGGAGATAAAACTAGCTGCTGCTAACAAATATTAGGGAGGGAAAGGGAAAATGTTAAATAATTAAATAGTAAGCGCCACCCCATTAAGTTGGTTTTCTATCCAGGTACAGAAATCATTTAACTATTGTGTAAATGAACTAGTAATGCATAAATTGCATGCTTGTAATGTTTTTCATGTTGCCTTTCGTTCTGCTTGCAGGGAGATAAAACTAGCTGCTGCTAACAAATATTAGGGAGGGAAAGGGAAAATGTTAAATAATTAAATAGTAAGCGCCACCCCATTAAGTTGGTTTTCTATCCAGGTACAGAAATCATTTAACTATTGTGTAAATGAACTAGCAATGTAATAAATTGCATGCTTGTAATGTTTTTCATATTGCCTTTCCCTCCCCCTACAGCTGCTTGCAGGACAGAAGAAAAGTGCCCCTTTCTGGACATTTGAGTACTACCAGACGTTCTTCGATGTGGACACTTACCAGGTTAATACTCCACTCCAGAGGAGAGCTATTGTCTGAGCTATGCTTTATCCAGATATTGAGATTTTTTTCTGTTTTGCATCTTCAGTCAGACAAATCTGTACATTTTCACAGGTCCTGGACAGAATCAAAGGTTCAGTTTTCCCAGTACCAGGGAAGAACTTTGTAAGGCTGTATATCCGCAGCAATCCTGACCTTTATGGTAGGTACGAGGTGTGAGAAGTCCTCTTCTGTGCTAATGTTTTGAGTGTGTATTCCCTTTTACTTGCTAACCTTAAAAAACAAGAAGGCAGAGGAGTTGTTATTGAACTTCTTTGTTTCCTTTTAAGGTCCCTTTTGGATATGTGCCACGCTCGTCTTTACCATTGCTGTTAGTGGCAATCTCTCTAATTTCTTCATCCATCTGGGCAAGCCAACATACCACTATGTGCCCGAGTTCAGAAAAGGTTTGTAAGTAGTCGATACAGTCCTGAGTTTTTGGTGTTTTGTTTTGATTTTTTTTTAATGTGCTAGTGAAGTAATGTGAAAACAGGTCACCGCTTTGATTTAGCAGAGTCTTTTGACTGATTGCTTTAAATTTTTAGGGAAGTGAAACAAGTCCTTAAAGTGGGCTGTAAGTGGCAGAACCCTACTGCTCCAGAGCATAAAGTAGTTACAGGGTTTTAGTAGAGCAGGCAGGAGTAATTAGAGCAGTTATTTTTTTCTAGCCTTACTGAATGCCCCCTTGTACAGAGAGTGAAAGCCCAGCAGTGGCTACTGTCATGCTTTTGTAGGTGCCTTTCTAGATCCATGGCTGCCTGGCCTCAGACAGAAAATGACTGAATTAGAGTATTGCTCACACCACCTACTGAGGGCTGGAAGTTGTTACCTTCTGGCAAACTCACAAATAAGCAAAAGATGCTCAATTGGTACGTGCCCCCAGAGAACTCGGAGTGAGGAGCTGTCCTGGTTCCGGCTGGGATAGAGTTAATTTTCTTCCTAGCAGCTGGTTAGTGCTGTGTTTTGGGTTTAGGATGAGAATAACTTTGACACACTGATGTTTTAGTTGTTGCCAAGCAGTCAAGGACTCTTCAGCTTCTCTTACTGGTCTGCCAATGAGAAGGCGGGGAGTGCCTAAGAAGCCAGGAGGGGACAGAGTCAGGACAGCTGACCCAAACTGCCCAAAGGGATATTCTATACCATGTGATGTCATGTTCCGTATATAACTGGGGGTGGGCCAGGAGGCGTCACAGTTCGGGCACTAGCTGAGCATCAGCTCTGGGTGGTGAGCAGTTGTGCTGTGCATCACTTGTTTGTGTATTCGTTTATCATTATTATTATCTTCCTTTTCTGTTCTATTAAACTGCCTGTATCTCAGCCCACAAGTTTTACCTTTTTCTTTTCGATTCTCTCCTCCATCCCACTGCGGAGGCGGAGTGAGCTTTTGTGTTTCCAAACCCACTAGGAAGAATGCTGCCATTTGGGAATCCAGTCACTTGAATAATTTCAGATTTGACATTTGTGTTTGTGTTCTCTTTCAATTTTTTAGCATGTCCACATTCTATTCTCATTTTTCAGTAGCCTTTAGTAGCTGAATTTTTATTTTTAAAAGAGTTTTTCTTTCCTCCATGGCTCTTCCTTTCACGCTGAAACCAAGATCATTTTGTACACGGGTGTAATAAAGAAATTGAAAATGTCAAGAGAATACTTTCTGCAGTCTACTTTTAAACTAACTTGAAGTGTTGGGAAAGTAGTGGGTGTAAACTGGATGTAAATGCAAAGATCTCAGATTATTAATAATTCATACTTTATGTTGTGAAAGTAACTTCAAAGGTAGCTTTCCAGTTTTCAGGTTAAATGCTTCTACATGTTTGGTTCTGGCTGGTATTCTAAGTAAAATGGGAAATCTTTTGTCATATTTCCAGTGTCCATAGCAGCAACAACGATTTATGCGTACGCTTGGCTTGTTCCCCTTGCTCTCTGGGGATTCCTGGTGTGGAGGAACAGTAAAGTTATGAACATTGTGTCCTACTCCTTCCTGGAGATCGTGTGTGTGTATGGCTACTCCCTCTTCATTTACATTCCCACAGCGGTACGTATGGCCTAAAGAGTGCACCTCTATTACGTGCCCCACAAAAAGGTCCTGGTTTAGAAAATCTGCTATTTCTTATAATATTGTTCATATTAGACAAAATCTTGGGGATTGGGCAAATCATCTGTTCCCTTTGCTTGGCTAGAATAAACTTTTTGTTTAAGTTTGTCTAAGGTAAAGATTTGGGTCCTGGAAAAGCCCAGGACAGGTTATTTCCCTAGAGGCAGCAAATCCAAGCAAGGGTGCTGCTGCTGAGCCTTGCAGGCAGCCCGAGGCAACTTCAGGAATCGGGGTGGGGTGTCCGGGGCACAGAGGTTGGGGTGCAGGGTGACAGTGCTGATGGGCAGGCTCTGAGCACAAGCTCCCCTAGCAGGGACCATCCTGGGCCGCTCTGGCAAGGGGCAGGCCTTGGAGGGAGCGCCGTAACTCGGGGGACACACTTTTGTCATGTCTGCTGTTGCTGTTAATTCCTTCCTCAAATGAGAGACATATCAGATAAGGCACGAGTTAATTTGTGTGCAAATTAACTAGGAGTAATGAAATGTCACAGAACAATGCGTTAAATAAATGAATCCTTGTTTCACATGGTCTCTTCAACAATCATTTTCCTCCTTTTTACAGATTTTATGGATCATTCCGCAAAACATGGTACGCTGGGTCCTGATGATGTTCTCCCTGTGCCTTTCGGGGTCTGTTTTGGTGATGAGTTAATTTGTGTGCAAATTAACTAGGAGTAATGAAATGTCACAGAACAATGCGTTAAATAAATGAATCCTTGTTTCACATGGTCTCTTCAACAATCATTTTCCTCCTTTTTACAGATTTTATGGATCATTCCGCAAAACATGGTACGCTGGGTCCTGATGATGTTCTCCCTGTGCCTTTCGGGGTCTGTTTTGGTGATGACCTGTTGGCCCGCTGTCCGAGATGACAACCGGAGGATTGCGCTGGCGACCGTGGGGACCATTGTTCTGCTTCATGCCCTGCTGGCTGTCGGCTGTTTGGTATGACGCTGCCCCTGCTTTTCCCAAATTTGTTTTTTCCTGGGACTGGTGACAGGTTATGGTGCAGGGAAGCAGGAGTTGGCTGCTTGCTGGAAAATCTTTTTTTTTTTTTTTTTTTTTTTTAAATAAAGAAATAAATAGTACTTCTGAAAAACCTCCAAAGTTCCAATTACTTCAAACATAGCAAAAATTGATGCTGGTCTGCCTTTGACAGTGCCAGTAACAAACTCTGTAATGAATACGTCCTCAGCACAAAATCACTCACAGAATGGTCTTAAATTTATCTGGAATTCATCGTAGTATCAGCAAAGCGTTAATCTTTATTGTATCCAGTCGCAGCTTAGTCCAGTGAGTACTATGCTTAGTTAGTCCCTGAAAATGATTAAATGTTCAATATGTATTATGTGCTTTTGAGTTTTATGTATGAAAACATAAACCTGCTAGAACTAATAAATATTTTACTAATATCAGCATTATGAAAACAGAAGACCCTAACGCTAGTGAAATAGAGAGTGATGAGAACTTAATTATTTTTTGTGTCATTGTTGCAGCAGGTAGAATGATATCATCCAGGCTTCAGTTCTGTTCCCCCCCACCCAGCTTCCAGAGTAGACAGATTTGGTTCCTCGCAGCTCAGCGTGTGGGGAGGCAAAGGCAGAACACAACTCTTGTGTTAGCAGGAGACTTGCAGCTGACTTCCGTGGGGCTCCTGTCACTGGAGACTGCCTGGAGCTTCATCGGTTAAACCAGCAAACAGTCAAATAAATATCTGCAATCCGATCCCTTCCAGTACAGGTCTTTTCAAAGGCCTTAGCTGCTAGCTGTTACATTTAAAAGTACAGTTGGAGCGCCATTTTAATTGACTGTTTCTAATCTGATAAAATCAGAAAAGACCCAAATTTGCCATTTTGGTGTTGTTTGTACCTTGTGAACAGTGGGTGTGGGAAGAAAGAGCTGGAATGAGGCGGAACTGTTTGTTTCTCTCTAAACAGTCTTTTTTTCCCCTGTAATAATGTAGGCATACTTTTTTGATGCCCCTGAACTGGATTTTCCTGCATCTATTAACCCTGATCACAATGGAACAACAGTAATAATAGAGAGCTGGTAAATAAGGTAAGAATCCAATGTAAACTTTCTTCTGTAATCATCACAGACATCTTGAAACTTTTCCCCATCGCTACGGTTGAGTGGAAAAGGATTTAACAGACCGGTTTTGCCAAATGGCACCTATATAAAAATACCATTTATTAACTTTTCTTCCAGTTGTTAGTTTTAAGTATAGCCATAAAAACGTGAAAGACTCCGAGGAACAAAGACACGTTATCTTTCTTTTCTTTGAGGTTTACTCTTGGCAAAGAGTAAATAATTTAAACATTTAAATAATCTACTCAGTCCTGTAGGTAATTTCAAAGTTGAGTTTTCCCCCCCCCCAGTCCCTTACAAAAGCCCAAAAGTGTTTGTTAGAATTTGTACTGCAGAAGTAAAACTTAAGCAATAAACTATTATACTCCTATTTTCCTTTCCATGTAACATTAAAAGTAAATTGGATTTTTTTTTTCTTTCCCCTTGATGTTTGTGACAGCGTTTCAGAGCAGCAACTCCGTGTACGGGGACATCCGTGTACTCTGAGAGCAGGGCTGACTCAGAGCCTCAGCAATCCGTAGGGATTGCATTCCTTGCGTGGGATGCTTTGAGGTTTTTGCTTCCTGGTAGCTGGGAGTGCTGCCAGCGGCACATGACATTTGAATTCTGTTGGAGAGATGAGATGTGGAGCAGGTCCAGGAAAAGGCTAACAGACATGCAGAGGCCTCTGCGGGTATACCAGCCGCAAGCATGTGTGTGGAGATCAGAGTATTTACTGACTAGATGCTGTATTAGATTTAAAAAAAAAAAAAAAAGGCCAAATATGCCTAGCAAAAATGATCATAAAAAATTACCAGCTGCGACACAATCTAATCACACAGATCAATTTTAGAAGCTTTCCTCCTGCAAAACCAGTTTCTCATCCCAGGTGCCTATTAGGATTCCAAACGATAGTAATGAATTTCAGTAGTTAAACATAAATATGTGCCCTGTTGTGTCCTCTGGTGCCTGGGAGGAGTTGTATTCATAGGCATTATTTGTCTCTTTCAGATTACAATGGCCGTTTCTCCATCTGTACAGTAATTTTATTTTAAATTATTTTTTCACTGAAGAACATGGAAACTGTAAGAGGAGGGGCTGGTTTTTGTGGAAGAAAGGACAGTGCTGTCCCACGGACCTACGGACATCTCCGTGCTCACTGGAGACTGGTTCCACAAGGAGAGTGAACTGTTGCTAATCCCTTACAGTAGTTTTTCTTTTTTTTTTTTTTTTAATTCTATCTACACTCACCACACTATTTTGCCTCTGAATAAAGCGTTCGGAAGGTGATTTGAGATTGCGTGCACAAAACATCCGCTACTCCTCCTCCAAAGCTGGCGAGAGGCTTTGGTAAGCGGAGGGAAGGTGGGGCGCAGGCGAGAC